ATGAAGTAGCTTGGAGATCTCCAAGCCATTTGTTAAGGTCGGAAGCAGGTAGAGCCAAGTTTATGCCAGTGTGAGAACAACTGGTGGCAGCTGAAAGAAAATAAGGCACAGTGCATTTATAACGGTAGATTCTTAAGTGGCCACATTGACAAAATCGCTAAGAAAGAATTCCCCACGGAGTTCTGCCTCAGGTCTTGTTACCAATATTTATTAAAAAAATGCTGTGTTTCAGCTTCATTCCAGGAGATCCCGTCGACGATCTATGGGATATCGGAGTGAATACCAACCGATTTATGCCAGTTTATGGTGATGGCAGACTTAATGGCGTTAGTTTAGTCAAGCAGGAGTAAACGGAAGGGAACCACCTCTGACCGGATACATCCAAGGTGAAATATTGCGGTTTATAAGTCGATTAAAAACCTAACCAGCTGGCATAAGGTACACAGGAGTCAGTCGGATCAATCTGCATCGTTCAGGCCCTTTCGGTCCACTGTCATGGGTGCTAGGCGAACTGTCGCTTGGTTTTAAAAGAAGTTCATCGACAAAGGTAAGAAGAATAGAGCAGAGAAAGGAAGCTCAGTAGTATATGCTTCTAAGATGCATACTGATGGGCGTAGGAGGAAAAAACGGAGAGCTCAGAGTAACATCGGATTTTTCAAAACATGCATGGAAAGGAAACAGAGCTGGAAAACCGGATGAGACTGATTAAGTATTGAACTTACCAGGGTAACTTAGGTGGAGAAAGAAAGTAGTGCGCAGTCGCTGGAAAATATCAAACGTCTAATAATCCATCAGTAATTAGCCCTCCGTTAGGGGTTTTTGCAGAGAAGAGAGTGGGTTTTGCCTTTTCACGGAAATGTAGAATTGGATGCGGCCTGTCCCCAATCGGAGGTCTGATCCTAATGTTTATCCGGATGGGTGAATTTGCGAATGAGTTGAGGATAGCCCAGGAAATCAAATGTGTACTAGTTTTCGCTGACGCAATGTGTGCTTTTTTAACTGCGAACATTTCGCGTCATCTGGGACTCCCGCGGTGAAGGCGATAGTTTTTGACGTGAGTGGAAAGTCGAGTATAGTGGGCTCCCGGTGTCTTAGCAGCACCGTGCCTTTGTTCCCGTGCAAAGGATCTTACACCTCTGAGCTATAGAAGAGGCATCGATTGTCGGATGTTCAACCTCCTCAGTTCAGGACGCCATGGCTGACAGGCGAAGCATCTAGGAAATACAGCATTCTTGTTGACTTGGCCCGGCAAATGGAGGGCTCTGAACGCATTGACAACAAATACGGTTAACCGCAGAGGAACCTTGTGGAGCTACAATAGCTTTGGTGTTATAAACTAAACGATATGGTGTTTGGAAGCACGTGGTTACTTAATGATCATAGGTTTGTTACCTAACTTGTAGAGAAAATGCCAACCGAGGCCCTATAGACCAAACGGTTGATAGCTGAGCCAAGAGAGTAGATTAAGGGTAGTTAGGTGTGGGAAGGCTGAGGAAGACGCTGAATGGGATTACATCACCTCATGAAAGTGGATAAGATTTTGGCCAGCAGGACAATTTGGGAAGCGGTCAAAAGCCCTGAAATTTGGGGAAAGCCAATGAGTCAATATGTGCGGATCTACTGCGGTACATGCTGCTGGAAAAGGTGTAGTGGAGCAAGAATTATGAACATGTGTGCAGGATGTGTAGTACGTAATGTGGGGGGGGCGAGGGATGGTTGACCGCTCTGGCAGCTCCCTCGTGGTGAAGGGTAAACTTGAGGCGAAGTAATCACCTGTCATCTGAACTGAGTGAGATGATAAGTGGAAAATGGTGGGTACGTAGGGAGACTTCCGACAGGTATGTTCGTGGGCCGGTTGCTCATAGTCGTAGCAATGATCTCCCGCCTAGCGATGGCAGACGAGAATTTGGATTTTAGGATCACAGCAGCAGCAACACAGGTCCGTGATATATCTGACCATAACTGAGACATTAGCTTGTGCATGTAGAAATGAGGCTCTGCAAGACCTTTTTAATCTTAAGCACGGTCCGGAAGATGGACGGGGTGGCACGCACCCAAGCTAAGGACCCCTATGGGGAATGTCTGCGCCATCTTCAGTTAGGTCTTGGTAGTGGTCTCATTTTCTTTGTCATGTTTCATGATCTTGACTAGCTGCATTAAGCAGGCACAGATATGCGCGGTTCAGAGGGACTTCATTGGTGAGAGCGAAAAGGCGGGATACCAACCGGGGCGAGTGAGATGAGTCAAGAGGTCGGCGTCCAGCGGTAATCATGAATAGAGGAGTCGATAAAGAATCACAAGCAGGCGGAGGATCCGCATGAGTTGAATAGACGCGTGAGGTGTAAGTAGATGGGCCGGGATAACGCCAGACACCGGATTCTGGTGGGACACGCGGCTTAACGTTCCGCCAACAGGCTAGGACGGTTTTAGGGAGAGTGGTCTTGCTCGTTGCTTGTGCATATTTGTAGCTGATTGTTCTGTTTATAGAGCCAATATTTGTCGGCCGGTTGAATTTTTTACCCAAATATGCTAACAATAATTTTATTTCCAACTTGTTGGGGGCATACCGTTAGGCATTATCATGACGTCACAGTCAGAATAAAAGCATGATTGGCGGGGGTTATTGGCACAGGGGTTTGGGAAAAGTGACAGCGTCATAGGGGATGGGCATTATCAGAATGGTTGGCAGGAATCCATGCTGATCTGGGAATATCGGATTGGTAGGGATAAAACTACCTGGAATGACCCTTCACGATGCGATCCGTCTCGTTTTATCTGTTATGTTGTGGATTATCGATATTCTCTAGTGAGTCCACCGTTTCTTCATTGTAATGTGACACTAGCACTACACATGGGCTAGAGGGAACCGTCGCTGACCTCGCCGGGGTAAAGTGGTTTCTCGTCCGACACCGGACGTACCTCGAATGGCCAAGTAGACTTACCGAAGACGTCGTTGATGAGCGTGCATTCAAATGCCGTAAGTGTGATTAACATGCCGCAAAATCATGGTCCGTAATCATCACCGCCGAACTGGTTCACAAACTTCGTGGCACTCCGTGTCGCCATAAAAACCAGGTCGCTCTTGGGGCGTAGCCAAGTAGCAGGGAAAGGAACCTGAAAAAATTTGATCCGATACAATGATTTGGTGCGAACGACTCGTGTCTCAGTGATCCCCGAGAGTTCTGCTGGTCGCACCCTTCAATTGCGCTTCAATTATTGTTGTAAACCTTGAAATTATATCACAACCACACATGGTTTATTTCTCCCATAACCCATTCATCGCGCCCTGGTGCTCAGCACTGACGTGGCTAAGTATCCAGGACGCCCGATCAACCCGACTTACTGATAAGAATTGTTTAATTGCATGGAGACAACTGTAGATTCCGATTACAATTGTTTGTCCCTCTCGGCTGATATGGCAAGCATCACAGCAAAGTAATGACAGGGTCGCTGACGGTTACATTAAACGGATTTCGGAACAAAACTGATGAGGTTGATTGGGCTCTTTATCTTATTTGGGCCCAATTTTCATGAACGAATATGAATTTTTGCATCCAAGCACACGGGGAACAGCCTGATGTCTTTGCATTAAATCCCAGTTCTCGGTGAGGATATCCAGTTTCGCTGATTCTTTTAAGTAGGGCGGTTGGTTAGATAACGTCGAATGGGGTTTCTGAAGTACCGATAAAATTCTTCAGGCGGATAACAGACCATGGTTGGTCCGAAGATATGTTGGTTTCTGGCCACACCTGGCATAAATGCGGCCAATCCTTAATCGCATTGGCCAATAAGCCTCACTGGTTTGGCCGACAATAAACAAGAAAATTAAACCCTTCATCACAAGCACGTATATCCACTACATCTTGTTGGCGGTAACCAGAAACCCAAATTCAAAAATGCTTCTTTCAGGTACACGATCTCCTCAGTACTCTTACATAATCGGACATGATAAGAGATGGACTCTTGAGTGCACTACTCCGGGAAAACGCCCCACACCGCTCGTGGTAGCGCCCTGAGGTCAGCCTTTAAAATGAAACCTAATGTGTGCATTACGATGGTTCTATTTTTGGAAGCATACACTTGCGGGGCTTGTTTAAGGTCAACTACACATCTTTGAATCCCCGAAGTATTTCACCAATGGGGCTTGGGATGACTAAGCAAAGTACGGTCGAACGGAACGGCATCCAGTGCTTGTATCAGGAACTTTTATTACAACATTCCGCGCCCCTCCAAAACGAATCAGTAACACAAATATAGTGGCTGAGTCAAGTTCTTCGCAAACCAGATACCAAGCTGTCCAAATTCTCCCCAACGAAACCAAAACGCACAGGATGGCGCTGATGAGCAGGGGGACAATGAAAGACGATTCTTTGCACTTAAGACGGATGCTGTAGCAGTCTATAGGGGGGAGGCGTAGTGCACACACAGCAACGACACGGGATATTTCCAGAACCGGATCACTCGTCCAATTGCGAAATTGGCCACAAACTTAATCTCATACTAATCTTAACAAGCCCACAGATTCCTGGCAATGAAGATTCAGTAGATTGATGCCACAATGGCTGTTTTCTAAGCGGAGGAAAGGTTGCCGGGAAATGATGTAGCACTAAACAAAGATGAAGAGCTCAAATGAAGAATGCTTAAATCTCAATCTCGTTTGCGCCACATCAGGTCCCACCGGACATCGTTCTCCGCGACAATCAATTCGCTTGGAAAGTGTACTTCGTTCCATCAAGCTAGGATTGGATGTGACAACACATATGACACAACACATATAACAGGCTTTCACAGTGTTCTTCCAGGCTTTGACTGCTGATATGGGGTTGTTTGTAGGTTCCCCGTCTCTGACACTCAAGGGGATGTCAGAGATTAGAATTTAGCCTCAATTTTCATATTATAGTCTGCATCTCAAGGTCATCGAAGCGGGATTTTCGGAATTTTCCTCGTGCTCGCTCCGCACGCCCGTGGATGACGGCATTTTTTCCTAGTTACGAAAAATGGATGACGAGTGGCCGGAGCTAAAGAAATTAGACTCAAAGAGCGCAAAGTACCGGAAAAATGTGGGTCGTTTGTCACTTTACCTAACGGTTATCAGGGTGTATCTAGAGTGAGGGCAAAGAAATGGGAGGAGCTACCTGTTCTGTTGACTTTTCCGCGCGATGCAATGAGGTCAGAATCTCCAGGGGAGGCACCCCCAAGTAATCACCGAGGGGTACAAAATGGATCCGATGACGGTGCTAAAAGCGACGTTTCCGAGATTCAAACTTTTGCCCCTTCTTCGAATCTTCCGTCGTCCTTGGCTAATGAACCCATTTATCATACTGCCTCACGTGCTTGCTTATTTGTGAGACCGGGATTCGCAGGTTTTGAATTGCCTATGGTTGTGCCCCGTCCTGGATTTAGTAAGTTCCTAGTTTGTATACTAACGCTTAGACCCTGGTGTTTTATCGCATTACCGTCACCATGGCTTACAGCCTCAAAACTGTGACTGTCGTGCAGAGGATTGTGGAGCGTGTTTGGCGGAAAGACTCTCACGAATTCGCTATCAGGTTGAATACTATTTCGGGGACAAGAACTTTATCCGCGACCGCTATCTACAAGAACAAATAACGACGGACAGATACGTACCACTAAATGTCATTCTAGAATTCCCTCGAATGAAACAGCTTGGCGCGACACCCGATTTAGTCATTCAGGTAGGTGAAGTATGAAAAGGCTCATGTGCAGGCCTGCTGCACAAGCTCTGTAGTTGAACTAGATGTGAACAATGGTCGCATTCGTCGACGTAATCCTGTATTATTCCAGGACCCGTTACTTTCGACAGGTGAGCGTCTATGTCACATTAACTTACCTTCCTTTAGTCGCGCCTGAAGTTACAACGCCGGTGAGTTTAAATGGAGTGTCACTCCATCCAGCTTTCGGAGCTTACGGACCCTATACACCCATCGCGGTTTCGAAACCATCGCCCCTCTCTCTGCAAAGCCAAGCTACCAGTTATCCTGACTATTGTACATCGGATGTGCTAGATCCTTCACAGTGTAACAGCCAATTACACCCTATTCAAGCTTCCGAAACCGACCTCTCCTGGCACACTGTACAACGGCGCCGGCATATACGATCAAGGGCTTCACCAGTGCCGTCCCAAACTGCAGGGACCCCTCCCATTTCCCATCCGGTACGTATTATTCCTGGTTCCCGGTCACGGCTAATTATTTGCATGGGGTTCTACTCCCCATTCAGGTTTCGACCTTTGCTGCTACACACACACTTTGCATGCACCCATGTCCTATGCATACTGATCGGCGCTAACGTAGTCGTTCACATTACTTAGGACCGTGAGCAATCATTGTGGGCCTTATGGCTCAGAGCTGGAAGATGTCCGTCTGCTGCTAAAAATCACTGGCCTTACATTGAGCGCTGCTTTCTTTTCAGACTGTGGTATACAATTACCGAACTAATCGAGTGTGTTTTCCATATATTCCTTAGGTGAACTTCTCATGAACCTGTCAGTCTCGGAACGTGATCCGTGCATTTTGCCATCGATGCTCATAACTTTGCGTTGGGGATTGCAGGGCAGCAACGTTGAACCGATGTCAGTGGCGTTCTTGTTGTCAGTTTCTGTCCAGATTGCCTGAGTGAATGTCTGGAGGTGTAGGCACCTCGGAATGATTGTGTTAAGCTAGCACTAAGTCCCTCCCACATCCACCTTTATTCTTTTCTCTACAATAAGGCTTTCAAATAAGTCATGGCTGTACGGCAGTGAAGCATTGGTGTTGAGCACTGATGTCATGCTGTCGCTGATGATGATGATGATGATGATGAACGTTGAACTTTTCCAAGTCGACTGTAGGATGTATTATTGCACCTGGTAATTATCATGTTCGTCCATCCTATTCCTATGACAAAGACTAAATGGAGTCTTACTGGGCTGTGCTACGCTAGGGGTGTTGAGAAGGTAGGTCTACCAGCAGAACCAAATATGGTGGTAGCCTTATTGCATTGCAACCAAGGTCGAGGTGTACTCATTATTTGCGAACGTTTTCAAGGCATTTCGATTCTTAGGGCTTTCTTGGCTGATATCACTTAATGTGATGTACCGTGGACTCGTACGCGTTCACGAGAGTAAGCTTACAGAGCCTATGTAGGAACCAAGGATTTTATACGGACACTTCTCACTGTCATAGATTCTGATGACTGGTCAAACCCTTCGAATTAATCAAAACGACCCTTAATGGTCATCGGTCGTGATGGTGCAGTTCGGACATTCAACACAAATTAAAAATGTAATATCCAGTCTGATTGTTACGTGTTTGACTGGATGGTTGATCAGCCTACGCGGGGTAATATCATGGAGCATCTTGGAAGCTGTGGCTATTAAGCTGCTGCCGGAGTGGTTTCTGCACACAGTCCTTGTCTTTTATATCGTTGGGATCGCCATCGAAACACCTCGTTGTGCCTTCAGTAATGTTGCCACTCTAGTCACGAGGGTTCCTGTGCCTTTGAAGAGTGCCGGATGCGAGTCGTTTAGACAAGAAACTGGTGTATTGGAATGCGTTGGATTTGCTATGTCAGTGTTCCATTTAGGTGCTTGTGTTTCTTCCGCCAAATGACAGCTCAAGATGGCTCAATGGTTAAGGTACCAACCTACAGACCGGAAGATTCATGTTTCGAATCTGACCCCAAGCATCTCGATTCCTGTGTAGGCTTAGTCGACCTGGCAGTATCTCACTCTTCGTGTTTCCTTCGGACGAGAGGGCACCTAAGCACCGAAAGGGTACAACAGCCCAAGGATTATTATTATTTCTGCACACTGAATTAACGGGAGCCGACTGTACTGGCCTTCAATGTGCTCAACCGACTATTCCAGAGGATATTGAAGTGAGGCTTTATTCGTTTTGTAGATCCACGCCGGAAACACCCAGCAAATGCGTAACAGCCGAGAAAGAGTTCGCATGTTCCCTCTTGCGTTCTCCATCTCACGAGACTGCTATGCACCAGCGTGCCGTAAGGATCAACTACAAAAGGGTGATCTCTTCGAGGGAATACTATTCCAACGTACCCCGTGTAACCCTGTTTGGGGTTCGAAACAAGATTGTTTCCCAACATTCCATGGTTTTGGACTGTTTACCTCAATTCTCCTCAGTCTTGGTGTTGGGGCGAGATAGTTCAGTGATTGGAATGCGGACTTACTGACCGGAAGGTTCATGGTTCGAACCCGACCTCTGCCTCTCGACCTCTCCTGTCTAAGTTTGGGCAACCTGGCAGTATCCCAGCCCTCCTGCAAGCGTCGGGTGGCATGGCAGTTAGGCACTGGAAGGGTGCCACAACTGAACGACATCCCATGGGGATTTCGTTTAGATCCAACGCGTAATGACAGTGTTAAATGTCGTTCACGCCTCTGTGCTGACCAATTGTTCCTTAGCATCCGTAAGTTTAGGCGCTATGGAAGTCAGATTTCTTCCTTTGGAATCACATTTGAGCGGTCGACTCGAAGTCGATGCTCGCCCCACAGACAACCGAAATCGACTCCTTCAGTTGTGTGCTGATCATGAACTGTTTCTGGTAAGTCCGAACTTTCAACATGAACGTTCTCACCTGGCGGCCACCAACTGCAAATCAGTCGTGGACCCAGTTGGACCATGTGGCCATCAGCGATCAGTGGAGAGCCACAATTTAAGAGTGCCGTTCCTTCTGTGGCACACCACTTGATTCCGATCACGCCATGGTGCGTGCATCCCCAACAGTTCGCTTCTCTTCAGGCCCTCGCAAGTCAGCAAGAAGCATGCCAATCCACCCTATTCGAGGGGCTAACATAGCTCAACAGTATCGACCTGAGCTAGCCCAACAACTCTTCACAGGAAACCAATAGTGTGGTGGCAGTAAGCACAGATTGAAGCGTTGGAAAATGTGAAAGGAGCTATGTTAGCGGCGTTCAGTTCTGTCTGTCCGACTTCTCCAATTCGACCACAAGACCACTGAATGTCATCGAGATCGCTATTCATGATTGATGCCAGGAAAGCCATACCGGCAAGCAACGAGTTCGATGGCGCACGCAAATCCCTCAAACGCCAAATAGTGAAGAGGCTAAGGAAAGACTGAGAGCTCTGGTGGACAGCAAAAGCTTGAGAGATAGAGAAGGCTTTTGCTACCGGAGACAGCCGTGCCCTTTATCAACTGATACGATCGACTGAAGAGCAGTTCAGCTGGCCTCCTGCAACACAGCCGGTGGAGATAGTGCATACGGGCGAATGGAATGTAAAACTTGATCGCCCTTCGGAAGAAGAAATAAGGTATGAAGTAGCCGTACTTAAACGTGAAAAGGCACCAGTACCGGACGGTCTGTATCCAGCCTTCTTCAAAGAAGGCGGAAATTCCCTGGTGACCCACCAGACAAAGTTCATTGACACTATGTGGGACGAAGAGCGAGTGCCTGCAGAATGGGCATGTCGACAATTATCCCTATCTTCAAAAAGGGTACACGGACGCTATGCGAAAACCAACGTGGCATCAGCCTGTTAGCTGTGGCATCGAAGGTGCTCTCTGGCCTTATCCTTCGAAGGTTGACTGAACACAGGGAGAGGCAGATCCGTGAAAACCAAGCTGAGTTCTGTCCTGCAAGAGGTTGCATCGATCATATCTTCACCCTCCGACAGATTCTTGAACAGCGACACTGCTTCCAGCAACCAACAACGGTTGTTTTTCTCGATCTGAGAGCTGCCTTTGACTCTGTGGACTATGGTTGTGTCTATGGAGCAAAGGTGTCCCCCGTAAATTCTTGACTCTCCTTAAGGCGCTGTACGCCAACTCCCGCAGCCGCGTGAAGGTCTACGGGAAACTTGCCTGAGTTTACCAAATCAGAGTTCACATCAGATAAGGCTTTTCTCTTTCACCATTCGTCATTGATACGATCCTGGAAGACGCACTATCAGCCTCTAATGCCTGTGGGGTCGAAGTGCTCCCGGGACGTCCGCTCACATGTATCGAGTACGCAAACGACGTAGCTCTTCTGGGATCTGACGCCGTCGTAATGCAAACAATATTAAATAATCTATATAATTCTGCCTCACGGTTTGGCATGTGCTTCACACTTGCAAAGTGTAAAGTGCTACTGCAAGGCTGGGTGGGCTCGAACCCTGGCCTCATGCTTGCGGATGAACCGATTTAGTAATAAGACGAATCCGTTTACTTGGACAGCTGTATCATTCCCGGTGGTCTCGCGAAAGATGATAATTTCATCCGGATTGGGAAGGCCAGAGCAGCTCTAGTGAACCTGCGTCACCTGTGGCCTAGGCGTGACAGCTTATCCGTCAAGGGTCGAGTTCACAATGCTGCGGAGCACTCCATATTAAGGTGTTTTCCCCAGGCGACCAGCAGGTCCATATTTTTGGAATCAGCGATGATGCCTTCCTCCGAGAAAGGCCGGGTTAGAAAATGTCGGTTTCAAAAACCGCACACCGATCGTCCAGCGGTTGACCGTAACCTCAGGTGCTTTACTCAATACGGTCGAAATACTTTCAAAACCAGAGTCCGGTGCTGCTCTAAAGAAACCTGCTTGCGCAGCCGCATCAGGAGTAGGACAATAATGGTCTGCTTCCTGCGCCCACTGGCCAGGCTGTTCCTCTACAGCCAAGTGGTTCAGACTATTGAGTCATTGGCTCCTGGAAGGGTCCCCCAAGGAAACCCTAACAGCCGCTGTCTCACGGTTCAGACTCTTGAGTCAGAGGCCAGGGGCAGGGTCATCGAGAAAACCCTACATCATCGCACTGCCTTGTGGTTCAGACTTTTGAGTCAAAGGCTCACGGTGAGGTACTTCAACTAAACCCCTTTCGGCATGTAGTGCAATCAACCCATCTGCCAATCCCTTAACCACTGCCCCGTGTCTTAACCATCTCCCAGAAAAACAAACCAAATTAATAACCTACTAATCTCAAAAGATCTGATCCACGTTGCAGCCTTCAATGTCCGCACTGTGTCAAACTGAGCAACGATCATCCCCTACTACATCTTTACTTTCCCTCTCTATCGATGTATGTTGGGTCTCCAAAAAAAAAAAACGGAATTTCCAAATTTCTCTCCCTTATGAGGGCACTGTATGCGAACTCCGGTGGGCGCGTACGAGTGTACGAGGAGCTCTCGTCTGAGTTCACCGCGTCCAGTGGTGAAAGACAAGACTATCCTCTCAACTGGTTCAGATCCTTCCCAAATGCAAACGATTTTAAATAACCTAACTAATTCTCCCGCATGGTTTGGCTTGTGCTACGACGAGACTGGGTGAGATCGAACCCACACATCATGCTTGTAGGTGAGCCAATCGACGTGGTGGCTTAATTTGTTTACCTAGGCAGCTGTTTAAGTTCCGGTAGACTGATTGGAGATGAGATTGTTTGTCGAATCGGAAAGGCCAGGGAGCTTTTGCCAACCTCCGATACCAATGGGGCCGACGTGACGTGAGCTTGTCCGTCAAGGCAGAGTTTACACTGCGGTAGTGCGATCCATACTGCTTTATGGATTAGAGGTGTGGCCCCTATGTGCAGAGAACATACGAAAGATGTCAGTGTTTGGCCATCGGTGTCTCCGCAGCGTTGGTCAGGTCTGGTGGGAACATCGGATTAGTAATTCTGAGGTATGCCAGATGGTCTTAGGAAGAAGGAATTCTCAAGTGATAGATGAATTACTCACGCTTCACAGGTTGCGTTGGTTGGGACGTGTACTCCACATATCAGAAGACCGTCTGCCTCGCAGAATGACCGGGAGGTGGACAGTGTATGACCTAGCAATGAAGTACGAAACCACTGACCGGTAAACTTAGTCGGGTGGGCAACTGCCGCCTCTGTGAGTGGGGTCCCCGGGACTCAAATCACCAGTGGTTAATGACATAGGCGGAAATGGCCCAATCGCGCAGTCAGTGGCGCTCATGCATCAGAGCTATCGCCTTCAATGCGTAGCTACCCGACTTCCGAACAAACTGAACATGGCTTTGCCTCCAAGGCTTGGTTGTATATTACATTTTCCCGTTTTGCGGTGTTCGAAACTGTAGCAGCTGGAAACAATGTGCCTGTGGCACACGATTTATAGCTGAATTGAATTAGT